ACATGGAGCTTTCAAAGCAGCACTTCAGGCAGCAAAACTGGGAGGATCAGAGCTCTGGGCTCATTTATCTGGACACTGTGAGCTCTCATAAGGGCTTTTCACAGAGGAACAACAATGGAAAGACTGATGGATCCCCCAGGATAAGACTCCCATCAAGATCTACTGTAGCTTGCAGTCACCCTTTGAAAAAGTGTTTTGGGGATATCACTGCATTTTAAGATGTGATGTTCAAATGTCACCAAGTAGCATACAGAATATGCATCCGTATTTTGAAAAGAGACATGATATTCAAAAGAGGGTATCTAACAGAGGTACTCCACTTTTAATCTAGTCTGAACCAGAAATGATGCTGGCTTACTGATCTACCCATCTAGTTTTAAAAAGCAACACCCTCAGCTGCTCTATTTCTAACATTGGATGACTTTAGCTCTCTTCAGGAAGAAGTTCCTGGGCTCAGATTGTCTGCTGAACTGTTTCCACCTGGCAAGAAAAACGGCTGTCAGGGAGCCAATTACAGCTGACTGAGTCTCAGGATTAATTTCCCTCACCCTAGGTTAGATCACCCTGAAGGCTCCTCTAACTTCTACCACCTGCCGGAGCTCCCCAATGTGCAGCTGCACTGTTCACTGGTCACATCCCCTCCTAACGCTAACACAGGCGTAATACATCAGCCGAAGATCCCTTTGTCTAGAAAAGTCTCAAGGGGGCATTTGCTTGAAATTCTGAGCTCAATGTTTTTTCTGCAGCAGTGTCATGGGACGGACCAGGACACAGTGGAGTTGTCTCCTGCTTTTAAGCTTCATTTCCAGAGGCGATGCACACTCACTGCTTCCATGACATTTTAAACACCCAGCACCATGCCTAAGAAACCCCTTCAACTTGACTTTTTTCAAAGCTTTCTAAAATGAATAGTATATGTTGGAGAAAAAGAAAAAAAAAAAAAAAAGAGTAATGAAATATAATCTCAGTGTGCTCAACTCCACCTTTCCTGTGGCACCAAGGTACGCATTCTGTCGTTCTGGCTGGTCTTTAAATCTAGTGAGGTCAGGACTGGTGCCTTGAAATAAAGCCTGCTTGCCAGACAACTGTGTCTGAATTGCCAACACAGTTTTATTTTGTCTGGTGGAGTGGAAATTTGGCACTAAATGCTTTTCCCAAGTCCCAAACCACTGCAGGACTTTAAGTGGAGGAAATTTAAATTCCAAAGCTGAGTGAGCAGGGGTCTGGTTCTGATTGACAAACTAGGAAATGTTGCCATTAACCACCTAAAATGCACTCTCAGGTTGGTCATAAAAAACAGCTTAAAGCTACCACAGTACTCAGAGCCACTCGCTGCTATGGATTTGCTGGAATGAAGGGGAGGAGGAAAGGAGTGAGAACATTTATTTCTTTTGTTGTGAATACACTGTCAACTTATAATTCTGGAAAACATTCTGAAAAAAATTCAGAAAGTCCTTTCAAATTACAAGGTTAGCCAGGCTACTGAAAAATTTAAACAGTGAAAAGTGCTGGAGCTGGTCAGCTTTGAGAGTTTTCTGCTCTAACAAACAAATCTCTATAGGTTGAGCTGGAAGAGGTTCCAAACTGCCTTCCACTGAAGATCAGAAACAAACATGAAAATACACAATATTAATTAAACAAATCCAAAAACCTAGTTCATTCACCTGTGACCAAAACCATTCAGCTGAAGAAAAAGAAGTATTTTCATAAGCTTTAGAAAGTAGAAAGTGCACTTTAAAACACCATTTCTTTTTCCCATGGAAATGCCTTCATTAATTTTGCTGACAGAACAGATTTTGCTCCTCCTATTCCTCCTCCTACATGGACATATTGAGTAAGTATCTTGCACTGTAAATATTTCTCATAAGTGCAGTGAGATTTCTTGCATCAATGTTCTAACAATTACAGAGAATTGGATGTTTAATCTGATTTCAGCTGTCCAGTTTAGAAAGCCTTTTACAAGTTCCTTGTAATTGTGATCCTGCATGCACTTTTCCTAAAATAATCACAGAGCAAATGAATTTGAAATCTCTGTCATGAAATTGTGAAGGCTGTGGTACGCAGTGGATGGATATATAATCTGGCACATTCAGTAGACTATTCCTGCTTTCCAGTGATGCTTGTTGGAAGTGATGGGTTCTGATAAGTCTTCTACACTGTATATAAATTTTTAAGACAGAAGCTCGGTCAGAGAGTAACTCTGCTCCCACTCATTATTCCATAAGCATCACTACAGTAATGAGAGAACCTCGTTATGTGTCTTCCCAGAACTTTGCAACCCAATATCAACAGGCTGTACTTGCCTTGGAGCCACCTGAAAACTGTAGGCTGTTGTTATTTTGACATAGAAACTGGCTAATATATCAGTCTATATTTGGCACAGCAGTAATGTGACTTCCAATTAGGTTAGCATGCAGGTGGAGTTTGCTCTCATCTTGCAGAAGATGGTGCAGTTGTAACCTTAAACAAAAAGTCCTAAGCCACAAATCATGGGAGTCTAACTCAAAAATCATAATCTCTCCTCATCACTGTTGACTTCCCACAGATTTTGACAGTTTCTTCCATCCTCTCGTTTTTAGGAGGCTTTGCCTAGTTACTCCAGAAGGGTGTTGAAATGAAAACAGATGACCTCGATCACCATATATTAAAGAATACACCTTACCTTGTTCACAGAGAGCACCTATATAGCTTGGCAGACACAAGCAAGTAAAGGTATTGAGGCCATCTATACATGTGGCTCCATTCCGGCATGGGTTAGACTGGCATTCATCAACATCTACAACATAAAGATAATAGTGTTTTTATAATCCACCCACCTCCTAGAAGGGAAATGTTCTTCAGTCTTAGTCATACTTACTACTATGACCAGTTCAATTCAGAAGAATGAAGTATTGCAAAAGATCCAAGTGACCCATTTATTTGTACGATAACTGATTTCACTATGCACAACCTTCCTTTCTCTTCATCCAAAAGCCAAGAAGCAGTTTCCTCAGGAAATGTGACATTACTCATCCACAATTCTATAGCCAGCACTCTGACTCCTGAGTTAATTTCTGAAACCTAGACCTTCAATTCCTCATCGAGTAACTGAGAAAGAAGCGGTACTGAGAAGTGTGTAGTATTTTCCCATACTGGTGGAAAATTTGATTTGAGCACGTGACCATGACACAATAAATTCTCATCAAGTACTGGAGACGTCAAATAACTTCGTGAATCTCAAATATTGGAAATCTCATCATCTGCCATCAAAAAACCTGCTAATATCAGTTTGCAAAGCAGCATGCCCTGGCATCTTATTGGTTTGCATTTCTCATTTTGTCCTTGCCTAACCTTATCAAGATAAGGACAAAGCATCATAAAGACAATCTCACTAAATGACCAGTCAGATAGTAACGTTCCTAGTCGTGCATAGGTGTACTGCTGAGCATATGGCTCTACAGTAAACAAATAACATGTCTCTCCCCAACTCCTTTGGCTGCTAAAATACCTTGTCTTCACTTTTTAGATTGGAGTGCTAGCTCATTTAATATAATTACTTTGTGTATGTATTTGCACAGGTTATAAGCTAATATGTTTCTTTATAAAGATCACATGGTTTTTTGTCTTCTGATGAGTACTGTTCCTCTGAAACAATCACAGCTTAAACTTCAATGCAGATTTTCAAACATCTTAATCCAAAGTGAATTGCTGGTAGTAATTGACAAAGCTCTTAAGAACTATCCCCGATATTAGTGATTATTTGGTTTTATTTGATGTATTTATGAATTTAATGTTACAAATTCTAGTTCATTTACGATTCTCTTATGTTTGTGTGCATACGCATCTGTGTACTTTACAGGGAGAGAGAAAAGGGTAAGTGGACCTCCTTCATTTTGTTGTTCTTTTCTTAAGTAAGGTCTCACTGTAGAATTTTTCAACTGTCTATGTGTTCCTCAACTTCAAAACACACCAATTCTTCAGATCTCATGTATGAAAACTTCATACTCTGCCTTAATCAGCATCTAGATGGCATCAGCTTACCTAATTCACACTGCTCGCCGTTGAAACCTGGCAAACATGTACAGATGTAAAATGAACCACGCGGATAGCAGGTACCACCATTAAGGCAAGGATTGCTTTTGCATGGATCTTGGCCTGTTAAACAAGCGAAAAAAGAAAATGAACTCTGTAGTTTCAAGGAACTGGTGTCTTTTTGATTTTTTGGAAGAAAATATCTTTCTTCGTTTCTGTATTGATGTTGCAGGCTTTACTATAGTTACAGAAATCCTATTATTATAATAGACTACAGAGAATAAGATAGTTTTGTAATATAGTAAAGCTTATTTTCAGGCATCACTATTTTCAACTTTAACAAAAATATGGCATTTACTATGAACCAGTATAAGTAATTTTCAGAATTACATTTTTTCACAGCAATTTTTACTATATTTGGTAGTCATGATATTCTGTTGAGGATTTAGTTTGCATGACATGACAATTAATTATAGCTGAAAAGAGTTAAGCATATGCAAAATGAATGGAAAATGCTTTTTTTTTTTTTTTTTTTTTGAACAGGGTTAGTTTATGTAGAATGATTGGGTACACAGAACATACTGGCTGGCTGCTGTTTTTTCACTTTGTTACATTTAATTGGTCAATGCCCACCAAGTCTTATCTCTTTGAAAGGATGTTTTCACACATGCATATTTCCCACCTGTCTTTCTTAAAAACACATTTCAAGAATACAAATCAAGATACCAAATAAATTCATAACTGAACTAAACATTAAGGTAAAAGCTTACCTGCTGGGAAATCCTCAGTTGCTATGGGAGTTACCATTTAAATAGCTTTTTCTTGCAGAGCTTTACGCCTTCTAGTGATGTTTATTTCAACTGAATTTAGATACCTAGGTATTTGCATTTGATTTAATGCCTGGGAGCAATCATTCACACAAATAAATACGCACTAGATAACCATTTGTAAGTATTAACTTCTCAGAGTTAGAGGAAAATCACGAAGACAGCCCTTCTGGGACACAAGAAGAAAGCCCTGGCTTTGAACGTTTACAAAATGGCTAAGAGAGTTCTATAACTTAAGTTACTTCAGAGACATGAGAAAAGTTTAGATTTTTGGTTACATTTTTCCAAAGCAATCTGACTATGGTTTATGAAGTAAAAGAAAAGTAACATCTGTTTTACCCTTGCAAGTTAGGCATTCAAAGAAGTCTTCTTAAAGTAACAAGTTCCCTATCACTGGAAAGCAGAGTTAAGACACACATTTACAAGTATCACAACAAATATATATGACAGTGATCATATTTGGAAGTTACCTGGAATTTGCACTGCTGTGCCTTCAACTGAACCCACACTGGTGCCAATCAGGAAATCTGATCCATTAGTGACTTCCGGAAGAGAAAATGATGAAGTTACAAGTTCAATAGTGTTTGGTTCCTCAGAGCTTATTGTTGACTGCTCATTTTGATATGGATTGTTTCCAGGGGCAGTGCTGTTTGTTGCAATGTTAGAAGAAATTGTTGTGATCTCCTCTCGAGCAAACAAAGCTGATTGTGTTTCTATGCTTCTATCCAAGGGTCGTGAAGATGAAGCTAGCATTGTAACCGCTTCCTGGTCAGGCGTAAATACTTCACTTTCAATACTATTGCGTGACTCTGAAACAGGTGTGGAAAAAAGCCATGGGATCTCTCTCTCAGTACTCCTGTCATCTTCTTGATGGGGGTTGTTGACTCTCCCTGAGGAAGCTTCAACTTTTATTGTGCTAACTTTTGGAACATCTGTGCTCACTCTTTCTTCAAAAATCAGAAAAGCAGTAGGCAAGACATGTATTGATGGAGAATCTCCAGAAACAGTAGCTTCTTCCTCAGCAGCCAAATCTGTTACAGAGGTTTCTGTCTCCTCTGTCCTGTCTGTTACAGGTCTATTAAAGTGAGGAGTACTTTCAGTAGTTGTGCTTTCTGCAACAGGCTTGGGAGAAAACTCCAGCAGAGAGGGCTCCGTTCTGTCAAGAAGGTCTGTAGTGGGTGGTTTATATGTTGCTGCAATATCAGAACTAACCTCTTTGAAGGTTCCTTCCAATGAATGATTGGACTGATCTGAATCCATTGATGATGACGTACTTGGAATGATTACCTCAGGGTACTCAGATACTCCGTTAACTAACTGAACAGTTACTGAGGATTTAGGAGTAGAATAGAAGCTCACTGAATCTGTTTCTTCATACTCTGCTGATGCCGATTTTGTGTATACTGTAGGATGCTTTTCTTCATTCTTGCTAGATGATACAGCTGTCAGGTGGGATGTACGCTGTGTGGTGACCATACTTACGTCAAGCATGTCAGTTGTCAAAGCCTTTTCTGTCTCAGTAGCTAAAACTGGTGTAAAAGAAGGAACCACAGGCTGCTTATCATCCAGTTCTTCTTGGCCCATACCAGAAAAGCCAGAGACAGGGATTGTTTCACTTTGATCTGCTATTACTCGGTTGTTTGCTGAAGTATTCAGCTCATAGGTGTCTTCTGATGTACTTGATACAATATGTTTAGACTCATGAAGGACATGAGGGCTTGCCAATGACGGTACTGTAGGAAATAAAATGCCCAATTCAGAGAGTTCGGTAGTGATGAGGGTCTCTGTTGCAAACTTCATGGCATTCCCTGAACCCAAATCTTTGTCATCTGATTTTGGTCTGTGCTCAGCTGTTACTGATTCACTACTTGGCTGATTGGAAGTAGGCAAAGACAGACTATCACCAGATCCAAGTGTCTTCTCTTTGGTTATGGAAAAATTAGGTGTTGAATAGTATTTCTCCCCTTCAGCTGTCATGCTATCATCACCACCATATGTTGATTGTATCACAGGATTTGGCATTGTCTGTACACTTATTATATCTTCAGGCATTGATTTTGAGTGATCCATGTCTATAATAGTTGTTTCTTCTGATGGGATTTGAAGTCGTTCTTCAATTAGTGTAATATCACCATAAACAGAAACATTCAGAATAACACTTCTTTTATCATCAATCATGGGAATAATTTTCTCATATATCCCAGTATCACTTGTTAGTTCTTCTGATGTAGCTGTCTTTGGTTGAACAGCAGATGGATTTGCCACAATCTCTTGTTCTTCTGTAAAAAGGGATGCTCGTCCTGTGATCACAGTCTGTGATCTATCTATCGGTGCCTCTGTTGTCATAACTTCCCCAGGAACACTGGCTGAAGCATTTAGTTCTACTTTTGACACAGGGGGTATTGACAAATGAGTAAACATATCAGAGGAAGATGAATCCAAAACACCAAACCAGCCAGATCCTTCTCCAGAGCTTTCAGGTAATACTCCGCCTGGTAATTTTGTTGTTGTTGTTACAAGTGATTCTTCTGTTTCAAGATTAGGCGTTCCACTCAGTATTACAGAAACAGGAGTTACGCCATCTTTAATCAGCAAATGTGAAGTCTCCTCTTGAGAAAGAGATCTAGAAGTAGTTGTTGTCCTATCTGTTTCATTTTCTCCTCTCCTAGAGTTAGTTTCCTTACTCTGAGGTTCTTCAATCGCAACAAAATAAGGCGTCATATCTTTAACCTCCTTAGAGTTGAAGGTCTTAGAACTCTCTTCTGCTAAAGCTGGGGAACTGGTGATCCCTGAGCTGGGGAACTGGTCTTCTGTTTCTAACAGCAACTCAGTTGCAGCACTTGTAACTTCTTCATTAACTTCAGCATTTGATTGAGCGCTTCCTCTTTCAAAGTCTTGTGTCTTGCCAGTTGAAAGACTGGGTCTCGTATTTGCAGGATCGGAAGTCTGAGGACTTGAAGTACTCATGGTTTCTTTGACAGTCAATGGCACTACAGAAGGAATAACAGCAAGGTCGTCTCCTGATCCTTGTCCTGAAAATAATGGATCGCTGATGAGCTCATTATTTGTTAGCTTTTTTTCTTGAGGTGT